GTTTATCCTGCATATTTGTAGTTTTAAAATTCCGATTTATGTATCTATATATAGATATATATCCCTATCTTTCTGCCCTCCCTAATGCCTGTGTGCTTAGTGGAGAGAGAAAATGGAATTTCGCGATTTGCGGCAGCCTCAAGTTAAGCGTTAAGTCTGCATTTGAAATTGAGCTGAAGAGGATCTCTGCGCTGCATATGATATTTCAGTATATTTTTCTTCTTTTTTTCTTATTTTCTTTATAACAAATTCAATTTAACTTGAAGCAGTTTTTGATCCACATACGCGCTGCCACGATAATTGCTTGTCCTTGCCGAGAAGGAAAACCAGAAAAAAAAATATATATATATGTACTATATACATAAAATCAGAGGTCAGGCGAGACGAGAGGCTTTTGTGAATTTTAATTGAATTTTTCCCTCATTCCGCTGGAGTCACAGGAAAAAAATTAAATCACAGCACGTTCGGTTCCCCCGCCACCACACTCCTCCCCTCCTCCTTTGCCGCGCTGAGTTGCACTTGAGTGCGTTTCCATAAAGCGCAGATCTGGGGAGGGAAAATGAAACTATAAACTGAATCAGAAATTAACATAAAGGCCTCAGAAGTCAAACCCAACCTGTATCTGTTGATATCTTTTTTTTTTTCAACTCTGCATTGTTAGCGGCTGCCACGCCCACAACTCCCCCACAAAGCTAACGGTTTCAATTGTTGTACATGGCCGGCAATTTGTTTGATTTCCCGCAGCCCCCCTCTTGGCATGTCCAGCATATTTTCTCACACTGACCTGCCCCATGGAAAAGTACAAAGCGCAATTTGGTTGTGCATTTTCCGACCTTCTTTGGGGGGCACTGTACACAATTTTGTGGGATTTTTTAGAGACCCATAAATACAATTTAATGGGTTTTCGTTAGGTTAAGTTTAATTTCAAATTGTAGAAAGGTCAGGTAAACACTTGAGCATAAAAATAAAGTAATTAACTTTAAACGTAAATGTAAACGTAAACGTAAAATATCAATTATTGTTGATTTTAAGCTTAATGTTTATTTAGTTTCCGTGCTGGTCAGTTCCTGTACATAAGTATTGATATTTGAAACCATATTTTAAATAACTTTTTCCTACAAAAGCCTTCAAAATTTCTACACCCCCACACAACTTGTTTTGTATTCCGTTTCATTTCTTGTGGCTGTCAATTTCACAACATTTGTCAACTGACACAAATAAAATAGAAAATGAAAAAGGAAATTTTATGACAGTTGCTCTCAAAAAGGAAAAAAAAAGGAGCGTGTTTCTCGCTTGACCTGCAAATGATTTTTGGAGCTTTTGTCCTTTCAACGAATTTCAATATAAAAGTCTTTAAACATTTAAAAATGATTTGTAGATTTGCTAGAATTTATTGGGGTTATAAATTTATTAGAATGCTATGTCAATGATTTTGTGTGGCTAAATTGGCAAATAAATAATTAAAACTCGGAAAATCAGTTTAGTTACATTTAATTTATTCACATGTAAATAAATTGTATCTCTTTATTTCATTTCAACATTATTATTAGTCAGGTAACTGTATTTTCCTTCGATATTTATTCACCATTTTTTTTTTACATTTTGCCACAAAATAAATATTTAAAACCTCCACACGAACAAAGGCACACACCACCACAAATTCCAATTAATTGGCAAATTTTTTATGGGTAAACATTATTGCCATAAATAACAGCAAGCCTTTGGGCTGCTTCTCTTTATTGTCCTCTGTTGATTTTTCTCGATTATTAGCTTAAAATACACAAGACGAGGCCATAAATAAGCGAACCGTACTTGGGACTAGCATGCACAACGAATATTACGCATACGCCGCATGGTACGGGACAAACTTGACATTGAACTTGCCGTTTTCTGCTCTCCGTTCGATATACTCAAGGCCATATTGGGTGCAATTTGGTGGGTGGTCTTTAGAGGCGGCATTAAATATTCATTTGGCAGGCGGCTGCTATGGCGACAATAAAAAGTGGCCCCAACAGGCACAACATTTTTAATTGTTTGACCAAAAGCGTTCGATATACATATTTACATAGAGTCCCCGCCTAAAAATGTCCTGCTGCTGTTCCCTTGAGGAGTGTGGGGGTCCTTTGGGGGGTGGCACTTTCGGTGGGGGGGGGGACTGGGGTTCGTAATGAAGCCACATAAATCTCGGCACTAAATATATTTGCCAAGTTTCTGGAGCCCAGAGCCCCAAAAGGCGAAGTGAGGCAATTAATCTTTTGCTGCGAGATATATACAAGTTGATATATAGACAATAGAGGGTAAAATAATAGCAAAGAGTTGAGTAGAAAAATAATTTAATAATTTAATTTAATAATTCATAAATCATAAAAGGGCTTAGTGGTTTTTATTGTAATCGGTATTAGAAATTAGAAATTTATATAATTAATAGTTGCCAAATTGATGACAGTATTTATTACTAATAAAAACTTAATTTTAATTAATTGTATAATACCAAAAAGAATGAAAATTCAGTGTTAAACAAATAGATTTCCAAAAGCATGTTAATCCTTTTTAGAGTCACTTTTATTATTATTTAAGCTTCTCTGAAAAACAATTTAACTAAATAGCTTGCTTTAATTTCTAAATTATTTAATATTTACAAATTATTTTATAAAAAATATTTATTAAATTTAAATTAAATTATAGTATTAACTCATAAACACCTATTTTTCGTGCCCCACTTGTCTCTATAAACTTTTTTCGCCTGCTAACGCAGGACACGTAAAAAAACACTCAAGGGAGGAAACTGGCCTGCCTTTTGGGGATGCGGATCCTGACAGGGATGCGGATGTTAAGATAGGAATTGTGGAAGGAAATGGGGATGGGCAGGGGACATATACAGGCCACAAAAGTAATGGCACAATAAATGTGCAACGGGCAGTCAGAAATCACGACTGTTAAGGAGAGGCTCCTCAGCTCCTCAGCTCCTCCGCTCCTCTACTCCTCAAACCCCCTCTGATTTTCCCCCGTTGCGTGTAAATTATAGATAACCGTGTTAATGTTGCAGCGTCCTAGATTTTCTTTCGGCCCCCCCGAAAATATTCTTCTCCCCAAAACAAACAAAGTTGTTGACGGAAGTTTTTTGGCCTCGACTGAAAGTGTGCCACGACGGATGCGAGATACATTTCCACAGCCACTTCCTGCGTGTCCTTGTTGGCCACTTCTCGAGCAAATATTTGTTGATTATTATTTATGGCAAAATGACTGTCTGCTGGCCACTTTAAAGCACTTTCCATTTTAGCACTTAAGTTTCGAAAAATTAGCAATTTGAATAATTTAATTACGCCGTGACCTGCAATTTGCGACGCTAATTAAAACGTGCCAATGTCCACGTGCCTCGACTAACTTTTCTGGTATTTGAGCTGCAGAAGCTAACGAAATTTTAACGCTCTATATTCATTAGCTTTGCATTTTGCCTCGTCCTCCCACGACAAGTTTGTTTTGCCTGTAAATACACGTAGTTTTTGGTTAGACTTTTACTTTATGTTTTTTTTTTAGCAAGGCATTTGCATGGGACGTGAGTTCTTTGATATGGAGATTTAGCCACGTGGGCCTGGAAATGTATCACAGTGTGTGTTCAGGAATTCCTAATTGCTTTTAGTTTATTTCCAAGTATTTTTGTTTTTATTCTGGCAGGAAATGTAGGCTGCTAAAAAGTTGACAAATTAAATTTAAATAAAATATAAGCAGGATTATTTGTTTAGTTTTGAAGTGCAAATTGGTTTATTGCCTAATTTCCTTACCAAACAATACTTCAAAGATAAGAGAAAGCCTATCAAAACACAAGATATTTATTTTCAAGCTTCCGAGCAATTAATTCTCTCAAAACATTAAGTACTTCCATAAATCTATTGTATATTTAACCAATTATTTGAATGAGCAATTACTCATGCATTGTCAATGATTATTTAAACATTTTTCTGAATTGGTTAAGTAAATGAAATTTGGCAAATTGCTCGTTGAGCATAAATATGCGAATTTTATTGTTTGTTGACGATTTGCAGTTTCTGGAGCGGAAATTGATTGTATTTAATTTCCAGCAGAGCGACCACAATGGAAATGTTGTATATATACTATATATTTTTTGTTGGTTGTTTTTAGCTTGGCAGCAATTGCAGCAGCGAGAAACAAAGTAAATAACAAATTAGAGAGCGAGAGAAGGAAAAGCCAAAAAACTGAAAACTGTAAGCGCGTGTTGGGAATGGGAATGGTTTGTACCCTGTAGTAAGTTTCTGGAAGGGTATATAAGTAAGGAGGGAAAGGGGTTTTCAAAGGGTTTAAGGGAAAGTTTAAGAGAACAAATACGAATGTTTTCTTGCTTTATTTAACACTACAAAATGTAGAGATTAAAATTTACGAAAAAATAATACTAATAGCTAGAAATACACTTACAAACATGTATCAAATGGAAGATTCCATTACAATATATCGATGAAATTATAGGGCTCAATTTCGTATTGAAAATATAGTAAACTTGTAGTTAATGCTATTTTGCATATCAATTTTAAAGTTAAACTATCTCATTATCCAAAAATGTACGACAAATCTTACATATTTTTTTGGGGTTTATATTCCATTATTTGTCTTACAAAATTTTTCAACAAATATCGTAACTTTAAAGTATTGATTTTGTATCGGCCTTCGCTTTAAATATCTTTAAAAAAATTACTTATTCGTAAATAGAACGCATATTTTATATTTTAAATCGTAAGACTTTATTTAGAAGCATTTTTTTCTATTATCTAAATTACCAGTAGTACAGGGTACCTCATAGGTCGCATTATTCAACTCTTAAATCTGAATTGTTTTCATTTTCGGTTGCCAACTTTGGCGAGGTGCCGACGGATGCCAAAGGAGAATTGCATTAACTCCACTCGAAGCGCAGAAACCGCAGCCGAAAAGCTTTTGCCACAGAAATCTAATTTCGCACTCACGCTCCCCCTTTTCCCTCTTTTTTGCAGATGTCGCATCAACTGCAGCAGACACGTCGCCGCTTGGGCTCCGTCAGCGATTCGGCGCCACCATCGGAGTCCAGTGAGGGCACCGGCTCCTCTTCGGAGCCGCGGGACGAGTTGATTCTGCACCCCGACTGGTCGGCTCACTCCCAGTCCTCGGCACAGCGGAGCAGCGTCCATGGGACCACATTCTCGTATAATGCCTCGGACATCGATGCGGACACCATTAGCACAGACACCACGAGCAACACCAATCTGTCGGACTACGAGCGGGGTCAGGTGGAGAGCTTTTTCGGCGGCCTGGGCACCGAGATATATGTGAGTGGCGCCCTGGCGAATCTCTACGAGGGCACTGGCAAGGATGGCGACTGGCGGCTGGTCTTTACCGGCATCCCAGTGATTCTACACGATAAGGGTAACTGCCGGGCCAGGGCCATACCCAGAGTAACCCTCGTGCTGGCCGAGAGGGGCTCCTGCTTCTCGCTCTGGTCGGATCGCATTGACAATCTCTCGAACTACCGGATTGCGGGTCCCTCTTTTCACACCATGTGCCTGTCGAGCAATCACCAGCAGATGATCGGCTTCAGCTTTGATTCCACGGATGCGGCCCGCGAACTCTGGCAGCATGTGGAGCGGCTGGTCAGTGATCCGGAGAATATAGCATTGACTGTGCCTGGAACCAGGAAGCAGAAGAAGCAGAAGCGCGTTAAGCCGGCTCCCCTGCCGCCCAAGTCGCAGATTTCGCATCCGTGCCAGTTCCACCACGTGACCAGTGTGGTCAAGGAGGACAGCGAGCGGTACTACAGCATGCAGGCCTTTGGGCCCCCGAATCCCCAGCAGCATCGTTGAGTAGGGTCGGGCGCGTGGATCTGGAACACGAGCGCCCTTTGGTGGCAGAACTGAGATCTGCAAAACCCCCCAAAAAAAGTATAGAGATCCAGCTATAAACCCATAGTTAGTAGGAGTAGTTATAGGATTCGGGTATAGCAGATATCTTGAGAGATTTGAAGGTATTTTGGAAAGTGTTAAAAGGGTAGAGAAAGATGTGCGTTTAATATATTGAAAATTTTCCAATGAAATTTTCGTTTATATAGATTTTGTTGATATACTTTTGAAGGTTTCAAATCTCTAGAGATTTCTGGGTATCACACAAATCTCTAGACATTGTGTTTTCTTATCTTAAAATATTTTATTAAATTTAAAATGATTTCTGAAACATATTCTTGCTACATATGCTTTCAAATCTCTCAAGATTTCTGTGCAACTCCAGCTAAATCCCTTTGTTATAGGCCTAAGTTATGCCAATGTGTCCCAATCTGTTGACACATTTATCTGTGATACATTTTAGGCGTCTATAATTTAGAAAAGGTAACTGAAACAACAAAAACAACAAAAATTTGATAAAGAAAATTTTTAAAGCAGACATAGAAAAATTAAAACAAGAAGTTTTTCAAGTTATTACCATACACATATAATATATTATAATCAATAAGTCCGAGAGTTTTTGTAAGTCCTTTTCTAATATCACACATAGACACATAACACTCTTATGCATAATGATATAATATACCATATATAGTCCTGATATCTATCAAGTAATCTATGTATGTCCCATTTGCAGTCGCTGCAAATGTTTTTTGATACCTAAAAAGCTTGTTTTCTTATCGAATTATGACTAAGCCCAGACAAAAACAGAAAAACAAATAGAGAAAACCTATTAACAAAGTGTTTTTTTAAAACTCTATGTATCATATTATAAACATGCATCTATATGCTATATATTACACCTATATCTATACATTATATGTAGCTCTAAGCATTACATCATAGCCACATGTCTGTATATCTCTGAACTTCATATATATTTGCCTGTGCAAAAACAGAATGCGAGAAAAACAAATAAAAGCTGAGAGAAAACAAACAAAATTGTATGTTTAATTTTGATTTTTAAGGGATTAAAAAATGTAATTCAATTGATAAATTTATGGGCACTTTTTTAGGTAAGTGTTGTGCATTAATTACTTAAATAAACTGATTACAAAAACTGTCAAAAGTAGCAAGATATGGAAAATAAATAATTTAAACTTTGTTAAAACTAAAAACAGCTTATAGCAATGCAATATATTCCATTTTCATGTACAGAGTGCAAATCATTTCATTAATTGTCTGAAGAATCGTATATTGATATAAAATGCTTCATTTAATTCCATCTCCCGCTCGTAACCTCTTCAATGACATAATCTAGCAGCATATCAAACCTCAATCATTTTACCCCCATGACTCAATTATTTACCATTCGAGTGCACTACCAATTACAATAACAATTAAAGCCATTACGAGTGGGGAGAAGTGAGAGCCCGCATGATAGAGCCAATAGGAGGGGAACACTTCCATATATCACGAGAGCTGGACCGAAACGGGAGCTCTGATTCTGATTGACCGATGGCTGCTATAATTGCTCCTACGTATGACACTCGTTTTGGCCCACTCGGAGCTCTCCTCTTTTGGCCAGAGTTGCACAACCAACCCACCAGCACTCGATGCGATGCACATTTATGCTAATTAAGACACATCGAGTGGCAGCCAGGAGTGGACACAATCTCTTTCTGCGGCCGGGCTTGCATTTAATGGTCGCCTCTCGGTTTATTGTTTTATTAATGCTATTATGCTGCGCATTTATTATTTCATGTCCGACAATTAAAACCTACAATTTTTGTTTGTCGCCGTTGAATAATGTGCAGTTATTTGTTGACTTGGCCAACGCTCCTCGCTCACTGCCAGCCATCCATCTCGCTGATGCAATGCAAACGCAATTGTGTCTGCGAGTAGTTGGATTCCCACAGCAGAAAGTCTAATTAACTGGCAGCGACCTTGATTAAGTGCGAACAATGCCGCGGAATTTGCAACAAAAGCCGGGAGAAATGGGTTAAGCCCTGAAGAAAATCGAGTGCGGGGGGAGCAATGTCTCTGGATCAAGAAGTGGCTTAATGGGTCAACTCCCAGAGAGCTATATTCGTTTTAGAGCTGTCAAGAGAGTCGCCTCTTGGAAAAGTAAAATAACATAAAACAAATTTGAGCACTTTCAGGAAATTAAAAATATTAAAATATAGTCTTGCACAAATTTTGGTTTTATTGTTGTAGCCAAAAGTTTGCCTTAATTCTTGAGATTTGCAGTACAAATTCATCAATTGCTGGGATGCAAGCACCAGGGGAACATAATCAGCAGAAGGTGATGATCCATAAAAGCACCTAATGAGGTCATTCCCAGTTTCCAATTAGCTCCAAAATCATAAATGAACCCCATTTACTCCCGGCACTTGGAAATTTAATCAACTTTGCGCGTTAGCCAAGTGCATTTCTAACCACTTTCGGCTTATATCCAATATTCGTTCCCTCAAATGCAAACCAAAGTGTTTTAATCAAAAACAAGAAAGGAAGCTAACTTCGGCACGCCGAAGTTTGTATACCCTTGCAGATTGGTTTTGATGTTTATTTTATAGATTTAAATGCTGAAAACACTCACAAAACAGAGTTTCATTACATTTTACCTATACTTATTATGTTTACAGTTTGACAGTTACAGTTTTACATTCTCAGCTTTATATATTTTATACATTTACCGATCGCTTCTATGGCAGCTATAAGATATAGTTGTCCGATTTTTATGAAATTTATACCAAAATTCTAGAATAATAAAAAAAACGTATATCTCAGAGTAAATAAAAATGCGTTGAAAAACAACGAAGCTATAATTTTATTTCTATTAATTTCTCGATCGTTCCTATGGCAGCTATATCATATAGTCGTCCGATTTTCATAAAATTTTTACCAAAATTCTGGAATAATATAAAATGGCTATATCTCAAAAATGATGCAAAAATATTGAAAAACAGCCAAGTTATACTTTTTTTCTAAAAATTTATCAAACATTTGTATGGCAGCTATATGATATAGTCGTCCGATCCGGCCCGTTCCGACATATATAGCAGTGAGAGCATATAGAAGACTATATGCAAAGTTTCATTCAGATAGCTTTAAAACTGAGGGACTAGTTTGCGTAGAAACAGACAGACAGACAGACGGACAGACGGACAGACAGACAGACGGACAGACGGACAGACAGACAGACGGACAGACGGACATGGCTAGATCGACTCGGCTGTTGATGCTGATCAAGAATATATATACTTTATAGGGTCGGAAACGTCTCCTTCACTGCGTTGCAAACTTCTGACTGAAATTATAATACCCTGCAAGGGTATAACTAGCTAAGCTCCAAAAAATTCAGTATTTGGCATTCAACGTTGTTGCATGGCCATATGATGTGGTTGTGAGTGTGTGTGTGTATAATGGCCAATACTTTGCCTGCATTTTTGATGGGGCCAAAGTCTGGTCTCTCCTGCTGCAGTTGCCATTGTCCGACAGCGGAGCAACCGGGGCTAATGGCAAAGCAATCCCCATTTCCCCATATCTAACAAAGAACTGATCCCTGCCAAAACATGCAAAATCATGGACAAAGCCATTCCCTGATTCAACTTTCAACTCTTTGGAAAAATTCAAAAATTGCATTTGCTTTCGGTTTCGACAGAGAGGTTTTAGTTTTACCCCCACACACAAATGTGCACAATAAAAAATAAATAGAGTTAATAATAAATACAATGAATAAATAATATATTTAATTTAATAATTTAATTAATTAAATAATAAATAATAAATTAATTTAATTAATGGTTAATAAAAGAACAATTAAAATAGCAAGAACTTGCATTGGTTCTGAACTCAAAAAACGTGTTCTTGCCCACTTTGGAACTGATTTTAAGTTGATTTTTAAATCAAAAGGAATTTTTATAGGTATTTAAAATAATAAATATTTCGAATGAGAAATCTTAGCTTTAATAAATAAATATAATACAGTGGCCACAGAAATTTTAAGAGTAGAGAATAACAAACAAAAGAGTTTGCTTACTTTCTAAATTACTACATTCATTTTCTTAAAGATATACATTTTGTAGTTAACTTTTTGACCAAATTTTAACTGTTCTAAAAAACCTTTTTTGTTAACAAATAACTTTAAAAAATAAGTACAAAGAGTGGCATTATATATTAATGGTAAATTTTAAGTTATTTTCCTCAATAAAAATATTCTTAACCACAATTTGTTCTGTGCACAAAATTCCTACATCTGTGTGCGATTGTGGGTGCCTGTTGGGTGAGGCCGCCGCAAACATTTTGATTATTTTAGTTGACTTAGGCAAAAGTGCGGCTTAATTGTTACCAACAAACAATAAGCGGAAGCTTGTGGCTTTAACAAATCTCGACAAACTGCGAGGGAGCGTCGGAAGTTGGCAGAAATGTCAATGCAAAAAGCCCACAGTCAACAGCATTAAAATCATCTCAGATGCCAGTCAGGCGCCCAGCAGATGATGATGATGGTGATGGTGCTGTTGGATCTTTTGTCCTCAAAAAATAAAGCATTAAGTTGCAAAAGAAAAAGTAGACGAAGGCTCGCTCCAAGGTAAGGCGTTGCCACAGGTCCCAGATCCATTTCTTGCTCAGCTTTTCAACGCGTGTTCTGTATTTGTAAACAATTTGGCGTGTGACACCAAAGGCACTTGTGACCTTCCCTCGCAGTCGCCTTTCTTCTGCCTTTCACTCAACCATTTGGAGGCTCCGGGGCACATATATTTATTCAGGGCCCAGCACATCAACATCAACCCATCAACACATCGTGTTTGGCTTTGCGGACTTAAACTTGCTCACATTTCCATAGTTACTGTCCTAGTTCTGGTCCGGCATGTTGGGATAGGGATTGGGGGACTGAGGGTTTTGGGGGATTGAGGGATTCCTGTGGGCAAATAAAACCAAAATCCACACATAAGTTGACCCTTTTTTGCTGTTCAAAATAGATGTAGAAAACTGACCTATGAAAGTAAGCTTAAATTGGCAATTTAATTTGAATTGGTTACAATTTTAATCCGCATTTTTCATCAATATTTGATAGTTATTTTTATTGGCTTCCAATTTTGCAGGAATTTGATTGCTGAACTGGATTATTGGGAAATGCATAAGAGTGGAACTGAATTTATATATATAGAGTAAAGTTTAGTTAAGCGAAAGGTAAATTAATTTCCATATATTTGAAAATTCTTCTAGTACAAATCTGTAACTATTTAATTTCTACGAAATTTCTCTTGATTTATGTAGCTTTATTTTCTTTCTGAATGCATCTACCTATTACCTAATTAACTCCCTGACTTGGCAGCAATTTGTTTAAAGTCTTAAAGTGTTAAATCAAACTCTCAACGACATTAATAATGGGCTAGGCCCTGTCTTCTGACTGTCTGGCTTCTCTCTCTATATATATTTAGTAACCACACCTGAGTGACTGCGGCTCTAATAGCCGCATCTCCTACTCCAACTCCAACTCCACCTTCTCCCCAGCGAAAGATCAAAAGTCGCCAGAGGAGGAGCAGGAGCGAAGAAGGTGCACAGATCAAAGAGCTGGAAGAGCCAAACCTGTTGGGGAAGAAGGAACTCAATTGCAAAACTAAACGAAATGTGCTCCCCGCTGTTAGCAGCTCATCCTCATGTGGCCGGCTCATGTGGCAAGATCGGGCAGAAACAGGCGCAAATACACATGTGGCAGTCAAAGCCACCAGAGCCCCTCTCATAAACATGTTTTCTGGATGTGTTTGCTTCTGTTGCACTGCAAAAAATAATTCTTAAAATGTTGGAAATTCAAACTTAAGATCATAGAATAAAAATATAGGGTATTTTAATTTAAAAACTTTCTTATCAGCTTTCTTCTTAGATTTTTAAAAGGCACCTCCCAAATTACTTTAAAGTTCATACATTTTACCAATTTCTTTTACATGTTCTTAGTGTTCTGCCTCCTCCCAAAGATTCCTCCTTACCATTCCCATCCG